TGCATAGCATTTCCTGACAGCTTAAACCTTTAATTAACTGGAGATGCCATCGTGGAAACTTTGCTAGAGAATAATGCTTGTGGTTTAATTAAAAAGAAAAAAAATCCTTTATAGGTACTGGAAGAGATCTGCTTATGTCTTTAATAGTAGCAAAAAGCCTGCAGGAACTCTTCCATTTCCCTTTCTGACTGCAGCAGTAGGTGAGGAGGTGCAGAGCAATATCATCACCCAAGAGGAGAACGTGAAGTTCTCCTTCACAGCTTCATGTTTGACCCTCCAGTTTAAACTGCAGATGTAGGACAAGCTACAGTTCTGTTACCTCAGCAAGGGAAAGGAGACAGCCAACTCTAAAGTTTTTGCTTTTTTAAAAAGAACTCTGACTTACAATTCTCTTGGTATTAGGCCAGAGCTGTCTCTAACATTTCTAGTCTTCTCTAAGGGCACACAGGGAGAACATTTTTCACATAAGCACTGGTCTGTTTTTTTTTTTTGGCTCCCATTACAGCACAAAAGCAAAGACAGAGCTTACCTGGAACAGAAATGTAGAATACAGTTCACGATATCTGCAACAACCTTCATGGAAGCCTCTTTTTGAGATGGCAGAGTACTGCCTGAGGTGGCAGAGAGCCCTCGCTGCTCTTCACAACCCTGAGGGCTGTGTGTGATGGTAGCTGTGGCAGGGAACCACCAGTTCAGTACACACTTGCACCCTTGCAGCAACTTGCCACAGGGCCAAGGCACGGCGATGTCAAGTGGTGCAGAGGTGGCAGACCCCCATGGCAAAGCAGCAATCTGTCCTTCCTCCTTGGCAAAGGACTTGCTGGCTTCTCCCCTTCTTCTCCCCATATTGACTTGATTAGGAACAGATCAAGTGTCCCAGAGGCTTTTTAAACAGTTAGAGATCCGAAAAGGAAATTTTGTTCCAGTATTAAATATACACCTGGAAAAGTCACTGACATGACTGTTCACATCTGAAGCACAGCTCCACCCCTAGAAGAGTATCAAATGGTTTCTGAGTCATCTCTGGGAACAGGTTGGGGCTGTTGGGGTGGTGCCTGGGCCAGGGACATGTGCTGGCCTGCTCTCCTGGAGGCTCTGTACCCACACTGCCACCTCAGCTGCTGGGTGACAAGGGACAGCTGGGCTCCTTCTGAAACATGCCAAAGCTCAGAACTTGCCAAAATAGCTATTTGGGAGCAGCTTGATGGGCTCTCCCTCCTCTCCTGGCCCTGTCTGCAGCATGGTTAAATTCAGTGAGGGTAGCACACCCTCTTACATGGGTGGGAGAGAAACTTCTGAATGAGCTTCTTTCCTTAAGCCTGGAGCACAAACCACATTGACCACTTAATGAAATCCATCACCCTGTATAACCACATATTACCACCCTGACCCTTTCAAAAGCCGATCTCTCTTTTTTGCAAACAAACATATTCTTTCTGATATATCTGCTACTGCAAGCAGCACCTCTTCTTGGGGAGGGTGCACTGCCGTGAACAGCAGTGAGAGCTGGGGTGCCCCAAATCACTGACTACACCAGATCCTCCCCTGGCAGTGGAGCTCCATGTCCTATAAGCCCCTTTTCAGCCAGAACTCAGCAAGCGTGCTCCACCTTCAGTTGACTCCTCAGCATCCCAGCTCTGGGTAGATTTTGATCCTTTTCTCTGACCATTTCCTGAATGTATATGTTTAAGCCTGTTTCGACTTTCCCAGAACAAACCACAGAAGTAGTTGTGATCCTCTTGAAAAAGAAGCATGTTTTTTCTCCATGGATGGTGTATCAGATGTGAACCAAACTCAAACTCAGGAGTATTCCTAGTAAAAACTGCACTGAAGCACTGGCAAGCTGGTTTGTAGACTTGGTGAGATTAGATTCCCTTGAAATGTTCTTTACAGGTGCCCTTGAAATAGCAAGGAGAGCTACTTTCCCCTACCACCCTTTCCTCAGAGGACCCCAAAGGGCCATCACCTGAAGCTGTGATTGTGAAGAGTCCCCTTTCCACTCAGAAATTATTTCCTATTTTTGCTTTCATGAAACAATCACTTTCATCAGCTTTTCAATGCTGATACCAACAAATGCTAACCGCCCATTTCTTAGACTGTTTTTTTCTGCCTCTGTCTGTACTGCCCCTAAATTCTTCTCTGTTGAAAACAGGTAATATATTATGGACCTCACTTGTGGAACATCTGAGATTGGCAGATGAAAAATTAGAAAAATGGGAAAGATATGGGTCAATAATACAAGAGATGATTTTTTTATTACCATGTTTTTAATGCAATTACGGTAGGATTTTTATATGAGTCTCTGAAAGTCTATGACTTCAAACAACTCTGAACCTACAGATTTGTATTCTTGCCTTATTCTTGGTTAAATAGCTGTTACCATCATCTGCTTGATATACTATCTGTCTCAGAACGCAGGCACACAGTCAGGAGGAATACACTTCCTTGGAGACAGTATGTATTACTAGAGCTCCTTGAATCTCTTGCCTCATCATGGGACACCTGCATGGAGTGGGGATTTGTTCAGTATCCCCCTCCTTGCTGGAGTGGCAGCAGTGCCGGCAGGTAAGCGCCAGGCCTTTTCCCATTCTCTGCCGGGCACAGCAGGCTATCCATCATGGCACCAAACCCTGCCAGTGAAGCTTTCCCTCAGCAGAGGGAGTTGTTTCTCAAGGTAATAAGAAACTATTATCTGATTGCATTTTTGTCAGGTATGTCCTATTTATTACCTTACCTGTAATCTAATTTGTAATGTATTTCCCTGATATTTTCTATACTTCCCCCCTATATTTTTTCATAACTTCCACTAAAAGTCTGACCTACAAAAAAGACAAGGTTTTTAATCCAGCTTTGAATGATAACACCCTCCAGGTGCCTTTATCTGGAAAAGCTCTCCTAGCACAGAGGGAGGTCTGCTAGGAAAAGCTCAGCACCCTCTGCAAATGTGCTGGGGGAACACTGAGTAACAGCAGCCAAGGTCGCTTTGTCCCAGGCCAGGAAAACACCAGTGGCTATTTTCTACTTGTGGCAAGATGATCTTTTTGGTCAGAAAGCCATTCCTGAGCCAAAGGAGATACGTGAGAGGCAACAACCAGTCTGACCAATAGCTGAGGTGGGCACAAGGTAAGAAGACAACTACAAACTACGTGAAAAGCACCACTGATGTGCCTCAGCTGCTGAAAGCTGCTCAGGTGTTCCACTTTAGCTGTTAGGAGAAAGTGTAAGGCAACAGTTTGGGGAACAGAGCAGCCCCTGTAGGTCCTAACTAGGTTGAGCAGAGATGTCTCATGGTGGCAGAGTGTGATGGTCCAACTACCCTGAATGTGGGGCTGAGGAACATTAATCAGCACAACAAGTGAACCATGGGAACAGGTTGCATTTTCAGGTTGATGTGGGCTTCCCATGCGGCATCAGGCTGGTGGCTCAGCAGGGCATGAGGGTTTTCTGCTCTCTTCCCACCTGGTTTATTCTGCTTCTGCCTGGCTGCGCTACTGCCAGTGCTGTAAAACAAAGTTCAGCCTAAGCCTGTCTGCTAGACCTGGATTTCCTCATTCTGGTAAAGGTGTTTCAAAGTCACACAGCTTTAAAACAAAGAAAGAGAAATGTCCCTTCTTGTGGATGCTAATGAAATTTTTATCTGGGCATCTTTCTGGGCCTGAGAGGCGAATGTTGGGCCTGAGAGGCATGGATTATGTTAGGGGAGAAGGGCTTATGGAGCCCTGGAAATAAATCAGAGGAGGACAGAGGATGAAGATCACAAATGATAAATTAGCAAGTGACAGAAAACAACTGCAGGAAATAATAAAACCAGGAGGAGTGTGTGGGAAATGCATAGGAGAGGTTGTTTACAACATGTGCATCGGACTTTCCAGCATTTGACATCTTATCTCCATTTCATTCCATATGTTACTTTATGCATGGTTTCCTGTTTTTATGGGGTTTGTTCTATAGTTTTTGTACTAACATGAATGACTCACATCTGCTCCAATACTTAATTTATTCTCTAATGTCTTCTGCAAGGCTTTGCTCAGCTTGTGCAATACTTGTCAGTGGTAAGATCCGAAGAGCAGTGTCAGGCAGGTGAGCAGGGATAGCTGCATGAGGCAACTCGTTTCTGAAGTCCTACTCTGTTGTGGTGGTGGTGTTTTTTTCCCCTTAGCAAGGTCCGTAATTCCCACTTTGGCTGCCCTGTGTGGACAGGCCTGCTGTGCTGGGGCTGTGTATGGAGCCAGCAAGGAACATCCCATGGGACAGGGATGACAGCTGAGGGCCATTCCTGAAGGAGACCACGGCCTGGCGCCAAGCTGCTGCTGGCATACCAATAGCTGATGATTATGATTTTATTTTTTAAGTGTTCTTGACAGCTCCGGAGACTCACATCGTCTCTTCCAAATCCAGTAATTAAATTCCACCTACCTGAAATCCCCCTGCTGTTTCAATTGGTTAAATTAATCTTCCCATCATGTCTGAGCCTCCTCTGTGTGTTGTTGAACGGTGGCCTCCCCTCGCCCCGGAGCCGGGCGACGACCGGGACGGGGACCCCGACCGACCTGGGCCAACTTCGCAGCGGCGCGGCGCAGCCCAGCCCCGCGCATCCTTTCGCGTGGAAGTGGCCCGGACCCACTCACGGTGCGTGGGAGAGAGATGGGCGTCCCCGATTATACACACACATCCCCCCCACACACACATCTTTCCCCCCCGGCTCCGTGTCTCCGTCCCCGGGAGCTGCCTCCCGGACAGGGAGCGGACAGGGCAGCGGCTGACCCGCGGTTCCCCCGGGGTACCAGCCCGCCGGTCTGCGCGCCGCACCTTTCCCCGGCGAGCGGCTCCAGCTCCAGCCCCCCCTCCTCCCGGCGCCTCCTCCTCCTGTTCCTCCTCCCCTCCCCTCCCCTGCAGAGCATGCACAGCCCGGGACTCGCATCGTCGGCTTCGAGGCGGGCGGGCGAGACCCTCCTCCCCGACTAGCCCCGCTCCCGCTGCCCCCGGAGGCGCCCGCGGCTCCCTCTTGCCTCCTCCCTGTCCCCCCGCCGGACTTTTCCCTCCTCCGAGGATGAGGCGGCCGACGCGGCGGCTGGCGCTGTCTCTGATGGGGGTGCTCTGGCTCGCCGCCCTCCTCCTCTTCTTCTTCGGGGCGCGGAGGAAGTTGGAGGCGACGGAGCCCGAGGGACACACGCCGGAGGTAAGAAAGGAAGGGGCGGCGGGGCCGGGGCTGCTCCGGCGGGACTTGGGCGCGACGCCGCCGCTGCCCGGGGAAGAAGTTCCCAGCGGTTTTCGGGACCCCATCGCGCTCCCCTTAAAGTTTGGTGCCGGCTCTGTGCCTGTGCGGCGTGGGGGGGCGGTCTGGCCCTTTCCATACCCTCCCGGTCGTGCCCTCCCTCCCTCCCCCCGTCTGCCCCAGCCGCCCTCCCGCCCCGCTCCACCGGGGGCTGTCGGGGCTCCCCCGGCCGCGGGTGCCGCCGGCGGTGCCGACCCTCTGCCCCGCCGCCAACTTCGAGCATCCCTCGCTCCGGACCCTGGGGAGCGGGGACACCGGCGCGCCCCAAGAAAACGAAACGCGTGGTTTGTTCACGGGTGGGGTGGGGAACCGGCGACTCCTCTACCCTGTGGGTCATGCCGTGTTTCCGAGCTCTGCCCCAAAGACGAAGGGCTCGATCCTGTCCCCGGGCTGAAACGAGAGGGGAGCAGACGGCGAGCACTCAGGTGGTCCGTGGTTGGGGTACACGGGCTGGCCGAGTCCGGTTAAACCGCTGCGGCTTTTCGTGGCTGGTTGTGATGGAAGACTAGACACGGGCAGAATGCTGCCCTGTGAGTCCCAGCCTGGGTGGAAAGAGGGTGCGTTTGCAATCGCGCCTTTCTATGTCATGTTTGAGTCCCCGGAGTGCACCGGAATGACAGCACGGGAGAGATGAGAAGAGCATCTCGCTCGACACAGCGAGTGCATCAGAGGAGTTTTGCTGCCCAAACGCTGTGAAAAGCAGGGGACCTGCGAGCAGCTTCGGCTGAACGAGGTCCCTTGTCCTCTGCAGGTCCTATGTTCTCTCCCAACCGCTGAGAGCTGCTGGGGCTTAGCCGAGGGTTAACTTTCCAAAGGACAAGGATTAAATGCTGCTCTTAGTTGTACTGTGTAAATCTTGAATTAGTTAATCTGGGTTAGAGCCCAGATCCTGAAAATACTCTGAGATTAGGGTTACTGTGGCAGAGTGCGAGCCCCCAGCCCCCTTTTTGCACCAGTGACACCCAACAGCATTCGGCCCGTGACTTGTGACAGCTATAAGTGTTCGCCACATCTTTGTAGAGTCTCCTATATGTGTCTGTCACCTCTGCAACTGAATTAACGACCTGATTGGAAAAAAAAGTCAGAACTCATAAAGCTTACTTTGATTTTTCATCCTGAGGAATTATTGGTTTTCCATGTTTTTTAAATAAAAATGATTGAAGAGGGTTTTTTCAGCCTTTCGGAAATCTTTCAATCCTAGCAGAGGGGAATGAATCTATGCAATTTCAGGCCCCAAAAATAAATAATAATATATAAATTTATTTATTTATTTAAGCGGGGGAAAGGCAATAAGTCACTGAAAGCAGAGCTAGAGGACAAGTGCTTTCTTAACTGTAACTAGGCTTTGGCATCAGTAGGTTTCTATCAGAACTGCATTCTTAAAAATTGCAAAAGAAGACCTCCCCTATATGATGGGGGGCTCCTATATTCTCCTTGAAATGAACCTTGCTTCTTGGTTAGTACCAGCTGCAGCTGAATTGCTGCCATTTTGCAGCCCATTTGACTCTGCTCCCACTCGAAGCTCCCCCGACCTCAGGGTGCAGGTTGCTTATGCTCTTAGGGGCCGGTCTTGGCCCCTGCAGTAGGTGAAGTGAACTTCTCCCATCAGACAGGATCAGGCCCTGAGTTTCGAAGCTGCAACTGCCAAGTTGCCATAACTCCAGCAATTTGACTGCTTAAATTGCCTCTCCTTCATTTCTTCTGAATTTTCCATCAAAACACTCGCATCCCCTTGAGATCCATAGAGTGCAGATTCTTTTTTGTTTTTTAATGCATTGCATTTTTTGGCTTTGGAAACTGTTTTTGAGCAGTATGACTTGTAAGTTGCTTATGAGCATGGGGATGTGGTGTCACTCCAGTTAACACCTCTGAAAGGCTGCAGAGCTGACTTGGGTAGGAGAGACAGGGATGCTGCAGTCCAGAGGGGAGCCTAGTGGTGTGTCCCATTGCCCTGGCTGGCGGGACTGGCTGCCACAGATGAAAACTTGAGCAGTTAAAGAGTTGTCCTCCCAAATTCGTAGAGAAAGAAGAGGAGGTGGAAGTTGCTAACAGCAGTGCAAACATTGCCACAGAGCAAATCCACATAAACTTCCCTGGCAGCGTTTTCCAACATGTTCCCCCCCCCCCACTGCCTTCTCTCTCAGTTGAGCTGTATTTCTGTGAACATATGCACACTATATATCATGCCTCATGTAGATTTAACCTTTAGACCTTTCTTACTTAGGCTCCAACTGGTAATGCAGCCTCCTGCCCATGCCTGTCTCCTGGCAGGGCTCATGGCACACATCCAGTGCTGGGAGGCTGGAGTGCCCAAGCTCCTGGCTGGCTGTGGCTTGTTGGTGGCTTGCCAAGGGCCAACAGAAGAGCTGCTGCCCTTGGCTGTGCGGATGCCCATCCATCACTGTTATTTGTGGTTCTTTTCCCCCCCTTCCTTAATCCCAAATCCTGTGCAAGATCCAGGCCTCAGCTTCCCAAAGGAAGGCTTGGGATGCTTTTCTTATAGCTGGAGAATCCAATGTTGGAGTAGGCAGAGTCTCCAAAGACCAGGACCTTGGTGTGAGGGTCTGATGCAGTTTTTGAGTCCTTACTGCACTGGAAACATGCTGCTGGCTTGTCATTTCATGGTCGCAGTGGAGGCAGGCATTTGGGGCAGGTCTAACAGTGCTTTGGGAGCTTTCCCAAGCTGCTTGTGCCTGAAGAGGTAGGCACAGCCCTCTATTGTAATTAACTTGGCTTTACCTCTCCAGTTGTGTTTTTTTGGTTTTTTTTTTGTTTTTTTTTTTTCCTGTATTCCCTTGTAATCCATCCCTGTGGATCTTTTGCTGCTGCCTGGTGGCAGGCAGGCTTAGAGGGCTCCCCTTTTTGGCAGCCCTTGCTCCCCTTAATTCCTGTCACTTCTTTCCCTCCTCCTACTTCCTGCTGCCTGCAGCTGCTGGTGGTATGTGCCAGAGTGGTGGGAGCAGGTTGAGGCTGGATTTTAGGGTGTGGGACTCCCTCATGTCTGTGGAGTGTAGTAACCTTGCAGGACTGGTAGGGTACGGAAGAGAATCACTCGCAGTGTTTGGGACCATGAAATTGTTCCTGGGTCAACTTCCCCAATCCCTCCGGTGCTGTTTTTACTGCTGTCGCTTGAGGTTTGGGGATTGTTGGGGTTTTTTTTGCTTTTCCAAAGGGCAGATCAAGCCCTATTACTGCTGTAACTCTTGCCCTTTATGAAGTCCTGTGACTTGGCTGGGAAGAGGAGCCATAGGAGTGCGCCTGCCTCTGCCGAGGGACCATTACCCGCATGGCCCGGCCGGGTGCCTGGTTAGCAACCATGGACTCAGCCTGCAGGGAAGCAGAGTCTGATGGATGAGAGCGTAAGGACATGGGGCTGGTTGGGGTCATGGATCAGCTGGGACTTGTTGATGCCTTCTGCCTTCCCTGCCTTTTGGCGGAGGATTTCGAAATACTTTTCAAGCTTTAATTAGTTCCAGCCCGTCTCCTTGTCCCAGCAGTTTTCCGGCTGGATAAACCAGGACCCAGAGAGGCTAATTGAACTTTGTATCCTTGTGGGTCTTATTGACTCCAGAGGAATTGGAATCGTTCAACCCTCTTGGAAAACCAGGCAGCCAGTGACCCCCCTGAAGTCACACAGGGAGGAGGTGGTGTGGCTTGGCATGTGCTCTGGTAATCCAGGCTACTGCCTGGCATCTCCCCTGCCTCCCTCTGATAAGTCCCACTGCTCTGCTTTGGGAGGGGTGGGGGGGTGAGGGAACATGCAGGCTAATAACTTAATTACATTAAGGAATAATGAAGGGAACTGATACGAGGGATTAATTACAAGCAAAATCCCAAATTAATCGTGAGGAGTACGTGTAGCTGGCTCTGCAGCGATGTTTTGCTGGTGTGCTGCTCCTGTGCCCTGTGCCAGGCTGTGGCTGTGTGGCCCCGGGGCATGCTAATAAGGGAGCAGGAGAGGAGTAGGTGGCTGACAACCCCTTGGTCATCTCATCTCCTCCACCTTGTGAATCTGTATCAGACCACAGTGGGATGTTGGCTGTATAGCAGAGCCCTGCAGCAGGGAGGGGTTGGCAGGGAACTGGGCTCCCTTGCTCCAGGCCACCAGTGTGGGCCGGGGGGGGCCCAGGAAGATAGTTTTTGTTGGGTTTGGGGTTTTTATTTTTCTTCATTCCTTCCTGCATGCTAGTTTGCTCCCTCTGATGGATGGCTAAAGCACAGCTGACAGCCTCTGGAGGGAAAGTGAGTCTGTCACGGGCTTGATTGCAAGAGAAAAGCTACGGAGGAAAAGTTTCCTTTATTAAAAAAAGTGACCTGTTATGCTTGACTTGTAGTAGTGTTTGCAATGCAGCAACTCCTTTCTGATTGTGCTCTAGTGCAGCTGGGGGATGGCTCCTGGGAGATGATGAGAGGCTCAGCACCCTTGCTGCCTACTCCAAGTGCTCTGGGGTGCTCAGCACCCTGCAGGGTCAGACCTCAATGCAAAGGAACCCTTGCCAGCTTTGTGCTTCTGTGTCTTGCACCAGCCTGCATTTCCTTCTGCATCGTCGCCCTCTAGAAAGCCTCAGCACCTGGAATTCAGTTGACAGTCTCTAGATATTAAATTCCTGTCAGTTTTATAGCAGCAGAGCCACTTAACAGATTAAAATAACTGTGTATCCTGCAGAAATTCAGATCTTGACAATTAAGGGATTGAAGTGGCAAAGCTGTCAGGAACAAGAAAAAAAAAAGCAGTGTTAAGTACCTAGGAAGCTTGTGTTGACTGGGACTTGGGACTTGTCTGGGTGCATGGATAGGTCCAGGATGTGAGAGAAGGGGAAACTTCTGTCATGCTTTGCTGCTGAAATCCCACCCTGAAATCTCTAAGAGCAAACTGAGGCTTTCTAGGATGTGCAAAGCTTTGG